AGGGGGGGGGAAGGGAGGAGGACGTGCGCGTTTCACCGTCAGGGTGGACACACGTAATAAAGGTCGTGTCCGTATGTCAGACAACCGGAGAAAAAAGAATACCGGAGTGAAAGGAGGTCCTACCTCCAAAAACCTTGGACCCCTATTTGTCAGGGTGTCCAGACACGAGTGACGGACACTGAAGTACAGGACACGTGAACACCTCGACGTACGACATGCAAAACGCGACACGGAAGACTTGCGTCCGGAGTGTAGACTACTACCATGTGTGAAACAACCTTTCCTCGGTCCCAGAAAATTTGTGGACTACGGTCACTGTCGACGACACGAGCTGAGTACGTGCCACAAAAACACTCCGAAGGACATTAAAAATTCATACTAATATATAAAATAGTATACACTTATACTAGTTTATGAAGGATCAAGGAGGTAACTTGTGACACACATGTAATAAAGTAAAACATGTAACCCGTTTAGGGAAATTATGAGCAATAGGGAAATGGGAACTGCGGACATTAAATATATACGTTAATACATTTTTTTTAAAATAAAATCAAAACGAAAGTTCGGTCTACGATTTTATTACACCTCTAATAATAAACTTAATACGTGTATCTCTATCTTATCTAACCCATACTACGTTTAATCGCTAGTGTCCGTAAATTCCTATTTTTCATAAACCCCATCTACGTTAATCGCTGCTTGTTCCGTAATTACCTATTTTATAATATAATTTTGTGTAAAAGGGTATAGTCCGTACATTAAAAAAGTAAATAACTACGGTTGTTTATTAATTAATTATCATTAAGTAAAGTTTTTTCGTAGACTTCATAACCTACCCGTCAGGACTGACGTAGCCGGAGTCCTTCTCGCAGAACGGTTTGACCCTGAACAGAAAGCAGAAGAACGACCAGAAGGTGAGATTGAGAGACAAGAAAAAGCAAAACATCGTGACGGACACCATCGTCGAACGAGAGCGTCGTCAATCGACGTCTTGACCACGATTCCCTTGGGACGTAGTCTCAGAGGTAGTCACGACGGTGACACGTATTGTGACGACGCGGACTTACGACGAAAAGCAGTGGACCAATTTTTTTTTTTCCAGTGATAACTTTTCTCATCTGTAAAAATAAATACTAAATACTCATGTCAAACATTCTTCTTTTTCAAGAAACTTTTTGCGAAAGGTAGAAACTCAGTGCGTTTTCTTTTTTTTTTTCTTTCGGGTGATAACTTACGTCTGTAGCAATAAATGTATTATGTTTTGTACATTCCTGATAGTACACCTGAGAGGTGTTTATAAGACCGATTGTTGTTTTTCGACTGGTGTTATAATATTGATATAAGTCGCAAAAGGGTGACTGAAAAGACGGTCAGAGTACGAGTCGTTTACTTACCCTTTGTGACTATAATATATGTAATAATGACTGATAAGAGTAGTGGACCACGTCCAGGATATTTGGAGGTAGGGAGTAGTGAAGGGTGGAAGTGAGTCTTTTTGACAGGAATTGTAGACTACCACCTTGGGACCAAACATGAGGTCCTCAAGCAAAAAGGTATTTTGTACCTACACAAGTAAAAAAAGAGGACTCGGTTTTTTATTTCCGTTTTTTACGTACATATAAGTTGTTAACATTTGAAATATTCCTAATATCTTCAATGATCTTAACATAAAGGATATCTTTACACATTACTGATGGCGCATTTATATCATAACAAACTCTAGCCGGCTATACATCGGTTATACTATCGGCTAACATGGTTGACATCTGTTATACCCGGCTTAACATCAGCTTAAGCGCTGTGTGTTCTTTTTGGAAGTTTATTGAATTGGCTTTATGACAAGTTTTGCATAAGATAGACGAAGCAATCGACGGTTTGTTGTTATTTGTAGTTTAGTATAAAAAAAAAAGTTTTTGAATGGGTTTATCCTTGCACATAGATGAAGCATAAACGGTAAGAGGTGAGTAATCGCAGGGATTGGCCTATACGGGGGCGGAAGCAGCTGGTTCCTACATCGAGGGTGAAACTGGCCAGGATGATCTTTAGTTCACGAAACGTTTTGGCAAGGATCCAGACTAGCTTCTCTGTACTTGGACCGGAACCCCCTTGTGTACGTGCTAGAGCCGACGTCAATTATCTTCGCCAACTCCCGCTTAGCGCTGTATCCGCAATTACCAAATTATCATCATAAAAGATATAACATAAAAAGCTAAAAGTTGACGAAAACTTCTTGTATGGTTTGTAGTAAGACCGACGTTGAATGTGGTATAAATGTAAGGTTAACCCGAATATTTATATATTATAATGATATATTGTATATATTATAGAATAACGTAGAAAATGTAAAATGATAAACAGACATAAGTCCCAAGATGCCCAGGTAACTTTTGTGACCTTTTCAGTACCTTTAAAGTTTTACGAATTAAGGTCCGAGACCTTTTTTATAAGGATGTAGATAGAAGTAGGGGCGAATACGGCACGGCCCAGCGCCTCGATCGTCAAGGTTCGTCCTCGGAGAGGTTTGAAGAAAAGGGACCGGTGTAGTTGGTCGAGACGACCCCCTAGGGTTCCCGAGGTCACGGTCGCTTCATCTAATATTAGGAGGTAGACCAAGATACCAGATTTGGAACCAGGAAGGGTTCGACCTGCGACGGACCTTTGGAGGGACCCTCCGCGGAGTCCACCGGGGGGGGGGGGGGTAGGATTGATTCCACGGGCTTGGTGGAGTTGACCGAGGAAAGCTGCGCTTCCTCCTGCCAAGTTGATGTCTCAGGGAGGGCCTACTGGCTTGAAAGAAGTGGGAATAAGGGATTCCCTCTGTGGTCGGTAGAAGGACGCCTCTTTTGGGTAGAGCCGGCGAAAAATGGGCGGCTTAGAGCAAGAAAGCAGTACTGTAAGGAAGTAGCTGGTATCCACTCCCATTCCTTGCTTTTACGCCAGCATCTGTCTCTCGAGAACGAAGACCGAGTCGAGGGAAAAGCAGTGTTGCAGCCATTTCTCTTGACGTCATGGCGAGGGCGACGAACGGCTAAGAGACTGGGTAAGAGTGCGAGGTAACAAGGGAGTTCAGCGTCTTGTTCTGGGCTCTATGAACTTGACGGGAAGGGGGGCAGAATGGCTCAGTGTGCCAAGTGATATTTTAATTTGATTTCCTGGATTTGGGCTGCTCGTACACGTGAGAGATATATTTATTTAAACCCTATTGAGAGAACTATTGGTTCATAGAGTGTAACATAAGATTGAAGGGAAGTTTCTGAAAGGCAGCTTCACATGAATTATGAAAAGGGCTGCAGTGGAAAAGGTCATGGTTAATTTATCAGAAAAATTGAAAAGGAATGATGTTTGTATGGAAAGTTTCGCCTATAAAGTTCAGTAAAATATGTAATGTGTAGAACAGGTGGTCTTTCAAGCATTTTGATCTACAATAAAACAACATCCAATTAGTTTCAAACATTAAAAAGCTCTATTAACAAGGCTGTGTTTATAGAAAGGTGTTCATCAAACTCAACAACAAACTGAAGTTTAATGTTCTATTTGATGTAATATATATAAATATATTCAGAGCTCTCTCACACGCATTTCATTCCATTCACACGCTCACACGCCACACCTTGTATTTCTCACGCTGAGATCTCTTTCCAGGGTACCACCCACCAAGTTGCGCCGCAATTTTGTAAACAAACTAGGCTTTGAGACGCGTGCACTCCACTAGCCCCCCCCCCGTTGACATTCGCGGTACAGAGGGCTTCATGGGAACTTTGAGGGGAGCCAGAAGTTGGAGTACCAAACACCGCTGCCAAAATCTCACTCTGAACTCTGTTCAAAACTTGAGAGCCCTGTATATTTCAACATGCATTGTTATCTCACTTTCAACTGGCCTGTACTTGTTATTAACTGATTTTGATGAAACTGATTTGCTCGACTGTCTCAAATTGTTATGATTGTGTGCATTGCTTGAATTTTACTTAGACTGTATGTGGTTTGTCCTGTGTGTCATGTTTTGCATTGTGTCTTTTTGTTTATGTATGTCTGTAAGTTGTTGCTATTGTCCGGACCCCCTTGAAAACGAGATGGTGCATCTCAAGGGGTTTATCCCAATGAACAAAAATGTCTATATATAATATCTAATGATATATGTCCCTGTCATTTATTCTAAACCCTTCATCATTGCTGACATAAATTATAAACACCCTGCTCTCAGGTTGTGAGTGCTGCTGCTGTATGTTTGCGAATGTCAGTGAGCTAAAGAGCTGCCTGCTTTCCTCCAGCCTCAGGTCTGAGCGATGGCATTATTCAGCTGAACTCCAACTGGCGCTGACAGGCAACTGCATTTTGTTCATAAGCATGGCAATAGTGGAAATAAAACACATCTCATATGCAGTGGCTTTTCTTTCTCTTCAGGTGACGTTGCTGTCACCGTCATAGTGACAGGGCAGCCGTTCAACACGAGAATAAAAAGGGAAATGAACAGATTGGTTAAAAGGTGTGGAAATACTCTTAGACAAGGGGATAAATGGTGTGGGAGTGAATAGAAAGAAAAAGGAAACACGCCGATGGGTTCGGGAACAAACACAGGAAGAAGGGGAATAAATGAATGCAGTGAAGTGCTTTAGGGAAATATTAGACCTTTTGTTATGAGTGCAAATGCGGGAGGGGCTTCCTGGTTTAACTTCCACTTTGCGGTCGCTTTGTTTGCTTGGATTGAATTAAGATAGAAACTGCTCTCACTCAGCTAATGGAATAGCAATCTTAATATTTGACTGAGATTTAAAACACACTGCTGGTGTGTGGGGGCGAGGATTATATGCAGCCTCATATTTATTATAATCCATTACATGTCAGGCACACTAGCAGGAGTGTTGCAGTCAGCAGGGAGGAAGTCCTGCTTACCTTTAAATCCTACCTATAAAGCAACAAGGGAAATATGTTTGCTATGACAGAGTTGGAAAATGTTCTAACAATGAGTAAAAAACAAAAAATCATTTGTTTACTTATTTCTATGGGGGCCGCAATGTAGTAAACCACCTCTGCTAACACGGAAAATCTTTAAGAGATATAACATGTCATTTATAAGATTGAAAAAGTGTTGCTTCTTGCAGAGCCTCTGTAGTTTCATCACGTTGCACTTTTAATGCCAGAACCTTTTACTAAATATGGAAAATCTCCACAATGAAAAGAACTGCTTTGCTTCTTTATCTCGGAGTGCGACTTTGGGCTATTGTACTTGCTTTTATGTTTGGTGCATGGCGTTTAGTAAAAGGTTTTCTGATGTGAAAAGAAGTTATCTCTCAACCGCAGAATGTCTCTCTTGGGCATACTTTGCCCTAGGAAAAAAAAACACACGCGCATTGATAAGCAAATGTTCATTGTTAAAATAAATAGTTTTAGCCGAAAGGAAGATTTCAGCAAATGTATTTTTTACTAATAACTGAAAGCGCTTTACTCATAATTCATCTCACATTTCCTGTTTTAATAACCTTTTCATGGTTTTATTTTTGTGTTTTACTGAAAACCAATTTATTTTCCCTCTTATTTCAGTCTCACAGCGACACCGTCTCCATTGCTCTAAATCTTGCATGGCTCAACCATAGGGCTCAACGCTGCTCTGTTTGTAATACAGCTGATCTAGGAACTGAAGCTTAATCTGCATTTCAATTTGTAAGTAGGTCTAAACATGTGCATCAGTGAGAAGCTTTTAAAGCATGGGAATGAAAAAACTAAACTGAGATAAAAGTACTAAATTAAATGTTAAAAGCCCAACCTAGAACTATTACAAAACGAGACAGAGCTGCTGCTACCATGTTATTAAAATAATCATTTGACAGATTCGACCAGTCGTTTAAGAGCGTTAATAATTGTGTTCCTCTCAAAATGAAAAAGATTAACCTGAAAAATGTCAAAAAAAGTTGATTCTTTTTTTTTTAAAGAGAGCTTTTCTGCAGCCCTTTATTTGACCGTTAC